GATATCAAGAAGTCCCTTTCAGCCTGCAACTTGGACCCGCTGTCCCACCCTTCTGCCCAGAACGGGGGGCACTTTGGCATGCGTCCCCGCTGTGGAGGCAGATAGCTTAGATTTGACTCTTAGGTCTGTGACCTAGTATCTTTGAGACATTTAACCAGTTATTTAACCTTTGGCCTCAGTTTGCTCAACAATCATAGGATTGTTGTGAAAGCATTAGAGCAGGGCAGACCGTATAACAGACACTTGTTATATACACAAGCAGTAACCACCGTGCATTTTGGTCCATTACTTTCCTGGGCATTTATGTACTTGTATGTGAACACTTAACAACTAGGTTGGGGGACATAAATGGCATTGCTTCCTACAAAGTATTCTGCAGGGTTTTTTTTGTTTTTGTTTTTTTTCATGACTGCTTAGTATTTTCATCACTTTTTAGTTGTCTGTTTTCTTCTAGTCATGATGTTTTTCAATTCTTTGGGTTGCTGGGAGGAGAAAATCATTTTAGGCACACTGTAGTAATCTTGCCATATCCATTCAAGTATTTATGTTTCTTTCCATTGGCTCAGTCTTTCAGAATGATGCTAAATAAAGGTTTTGTGGCCAGCATCCATCCGTGACTCATTAAGTTAGGAATGGGAACGTTTCTAGTGTTTTATATTTAATCAACTGTTAGATTAAATCAATTATTTTTCCTTTTTTTTTTTGCGGTACACGGGCCTCTTACTGTTGTGGCCTGTCCTGTTGCGGAGCACAGGCTCCGGACGCGCAGGCTCAGCGGCCATGGCTCACGGGCCCAGCCGCTCTGCGGCATTTGGGATCTTCCCGGACCAGGGCACAAACCCGTGTCCCCTGCATCGGCAGGCGGACTCTCAACAACTGCGCCACCAGGGAAGCCCTATATTTCCTTTTTTTTAAATGAATAAGTTTATTTATTTATCTATCTATCTTTGGCTGCATTGGGTCTTCGTTGCTGTGTGCGGGCTTTCTCTAGTTGTCGCGATCGGGGGTTACTCTTCGTCGCGGTGCGCAGGCTTCTCATTGCGGTGGCTTCTCTTGTTGTGGAGCACGGGCTCTAGGTGTGTGGGCTTCAGTAGTTGTGGCATACAGGCTCAGTAGTTGTGGCTCACAGGCTCTAGAGCGCAGGTGCAGTAGTTGTGGCGCACGGGCTTAGTTGCTCCACGGGCATGTGGGATCTTCCCAGACCAGGGCTCAAACCCGTGTCCCCTGCATTGGCAGGTGGATTCTTAACCACTGCGCCACCAGGGAAGTCCCCTATTTTTCCATATTAAGTAAGTGCATGTGTGTGTCAGGGAGGGGAACAAATCGTAAATCCCATCCCCACCCGCCCACCATCCACCTTGTTTTTACCTTTGGTTTCATCGAACACTGTATTATTGCTTTTACTCTTTGATTAATGATATCTATTGAATCTACTATGTGCCAGGCACTGTGGTAGATACTGAAAATAAAACAATGGAAAAGGCAGATCCCTGCCTTGTACAAGCATCTGATCTAGCAAGTGTCAGAGGAGGAATGAAATCTTTGGTAACTCACTCCTGTGGTTCCATTTTCTGCATGTCAATTAGATTAGAGGTCTGGGTCATTCCTAGAGAGGTGCAAGTCAGGGCCAGAACAGCGGGGAGCAGTGGTTGGTTGCAGTGGGCTGGGAGGCAGGCTTCCTGGGGTGCATGTGAGCCCCTTGGGAGACTTCCATGTAATCATGATGTTCCTTGTGCTTCCACTGATCTTGATTCACCCATGATGGGAACAACAGAAAAAATTAGGTATCCCGGTCCTGCTACTTTTGACCTCTGTGCCCTGGGCCATCTTACTGAACTTCTGAACCTTAGTTTTCTCACCTGTAAAATGGGAATCACAGCACCTCCTTAAAGTTTGTTGTTGAGATTAGAGATGATGTATGTAAAACACCCAGTTATCTGCTCAGTAAATATTTTTGGTTATTACTGCTGCTATCACTGTGATTGAAGATTTACAGTTGTTAATATTATTATTGCCATGATTACATTTTAATTTCTGTCAGGGCTAGACCCCACATTCCTTTTTTTTTTTTTTTTTTAATGTATTTATTTATGGCTGCGTTGGGTCTTCGTTGCTGCGCGTGGGCTTTCTCTAGTTGTGGCGAGCGGGGGCTCCTCTTTGTTGCGGTGCGCAGGCTTCTCATTGCAGTGGCTTCTCTTGTTGCGGAGCACGGGCTCTAGGTGCGCGGGCTTCAGTAGTTGTGGCTCACGGGCTGTAGAGTGCAGGCTCAGTAGTTGTGGCACACAGGCTTAGTTGCTCCGCGGCATGTGGGATCTTCCCGGACGAGGGCTCGAACCCGTGTCCCCTGCATTGGCAGGCGGATTCTTAACCACTGCGCCACCAGGGAAGCCCGACCCCACATTCTTGACCCCCTAGTTTGGTGCTTTTTCTCTGACCTTAACTTTATGTGTCATGGCTCTCTGTCTCTCTCCTGTTCTTGTTTATCCATTTGCCTGTGTGTAGTTAGAGGCTAGGGGGGTGCGTGCTGTGTACTTTCAACAACTTCTTACTATCTGTCAAAGTACCAGTATGAAAAGCTGTCTGTTACTGCCCATGAAGACTCCAACTCTGGCTTGTAGTGTTTGGGAAGATGAAGTACTTTTCTTTAATAGTTGAGAGGTGTGTTTCCCTTTCCTAATGGATATTTAAAGCCAGTAGCCATGAAGCTATGTTGTGAAAGATGCATATTACATGGAAATAAATATTATTGCACAAGGGAGCAGAATACTTTGATGCTCTGAGCACCCAGAGTAGAGGCGGAAGAGCAAAGAGAAGCTCGGGGCCATCGTGTACCCTGGGGGAGGGTCAAGATCACCTTCCAGGTTCTTTGAACACAGTGTGGCTCTACTTATTTAGTTCATTTCCCAAGATGTATCTTGTGGCAAGAGTTCCATTAATTAGTTGAGTGGTCTTGGGCAAGTTATTTAACATCTCTATGCCTTGGTTTCCTTATTTGTAAAATGAGGATAATCATAATAGCTAGCTCATAGGTAGTGAAGGTTAAAAGGAATAATTCTGGAAACACATCGTAGTGTCTGACTGTAAACTGAGTAAACACTCAATAATAAATGTTAATTCTCTTTGTTACTAGCACCTGAAAATTTGCCATTGTTATCTCTGTTAGTGATTTTGAGAGTGATTAAGCCCATACCAAGTTATTTTTTATTTTAAATTTTCATTAGAGGCGACTGAAAGGTTTACATTTAAGGTCAAGTATTGATACTTCCCATTTTTTGTTTTGTCTGCTTTGGCCAGTTAAAAGTGCTAAGACTTTAGTAATGACTAGAATAAGCAATATACATTGCAGAAAACCTGTTCTGAAAATCGATATTTGATCAGAATAGAAACAGACAGTTTCATTTGGTCAGGGCTAGTCTCTTTATCATCCAGAATATTTTACAAGACTGAGCACAGAGCAGTGCATATAATGAGTACCTGATAGAGTGATTTTTTTTTT